AAAACCTATTTGTTTAACTTTAAGTTTTTGTTTACTTTTCTGTTTAGCGATTGTCCAATTCTTCATTTATATTTTTTGTAGTTTTAATCTCATAAAATTTAATATTTAGTAATAGTAATTAGTTAAATTATGATAATACACATTTTTACGCATTTTTCTTTATCAATGATTAGTAATAATGTAATGTACAGTGTAATGTACCTATAAATTTTAATAGCGAAACAAAATTAATTTACAATAAATAATTATTAATCAAAGGCTTGTAAACTAACTTTAAAGAAATATACGGTTGCATACATGCTAGTAGCTACTTTGAAATAAAGTAAGTGATATTAGCAATAGGATGATTGCTCTTAATCAGTAAATAAACTTAAGAAATATTTGTATGAAAATAGTTATCATCTACCCAAAAATATCACCTACCACATTGTCTTGCTCATCGTTACGTCTATTACACTCGTAGACTAAATAACGCACATTACATGTTACGTTACACTACTGAGCTCAATTAGCTCCCAAATGCGAAGCATAACGATTTTAATAGGCACCAAGCTTGATTATGTCAAAATGATCCCTAAAATTACTTGATTATGGTCCATATTAGAATAATTTCGCAATGTTCAAAACTAAGCAACCTTATAAGCAGTAGATTTTAAAGACTGTAATCAAATAAAGAGAACAATGCGAAGCGTCTTTAGAACTACAAACGGCAAGATTAACTTAGTTACTTTTAGGAAATGTGGAACTTTTAACTAGAAACCTTTGTCGTCATCGGGCAATTTCACATACACTCTATCATTTGGTTAAATCCCTAATAAGGAGAATTTATCGTCAAATCGTACAAAGAAAATTACGTTATCAAGTAAAAGCTCAAATATTTTTTTGGATACGATTACAGAAACTTGTTAATAATTATTTTGGACACTGTATATATGATATTTTTATATTTTACAGAAGAAGCAACTAGGCAATGTATAGTTAAAAATAAATACAAACTATGACGATGCTTCTAATGTATGACACAAAAAATATGATCCTCTCACATCATTGATCTATGTATTTAAATTGGTTATTTTGTACTACTTATAAGTTTAGAATGTAACAAATTGCATATAAGCATTTGGCTCTAAACATCTATTTTGTAGCAAGTGGTTTAATCCATAAAAGGAAATTGTGTCTTATTCCACATTTATAAGGATGATTTTACAAAATCACATTTACATCTTGTAAAGATGCGAATGAGATTATTTTTATGGTAAATGAATGGTTTAAAGTAATTTTATCTTTATGGATGATTTCACGGCTTTCGCCACAAAACCCTTTATAGGCATATTCTAGATGGAATTTACGTTAGCGAGTTTCTGAATACGTGGGAGTGTAAATAAAATTTAAATGACGGGCAATTTGGAAGTTTTTTTGAAAATATATGCAATGAACGTTAAAGTCTATGTGAGAGTATAGAATAATCCGTTACAGAATTTCTTAAAAAAATATAGGTACACAAGGTGCTTCTTGCATATTGCGTATTAGAAAATTTTATTATTTTCGGCTTTTGTTTTTGCTATAATTCAGTCTACTTTTTAAAGATATTTTACATACCTGCTAACGGCCATAATTTTTGGTTTATTTTTAGAATTGTGGAGATTCATGAAATTTTAGTATACATAGATAAAAGACACTGCACAAATGAAAAAAATATCATAAATACGGTGGTCTAAAGGGTCACTTTTTTGAAGGTAAAGATCGTCATACGAAAACAAAAAAAAATATGAACTAATTATTGTGTTATGTTAACAAGAAGACCAGACAGATTATGAGGTCATGTCTTCAATTAAGTTTGTCGTCTATAGTTCTAACAAAAATTCTAAAAAAATAGCTAATTCAGTTTTAGTCCGAATTTACTGATTTTCCAGGAATTTTGTCCAATTTTTCCTCTAAAACATTGTTCGGATAAACGTTTATAACGTTTAAAAAAATAGCTTTATCAACCAATCTTAAATGATACGCTTACCGGGAAACAGTATTTCACTTTTATTTATATAGAAGACTAGCGACTCATCCTACTTAGGTTTTAAGGTTTAGTATAGATTTTTCAAAGATATGGTATTTTCCCACAGTAAAAAGTTTCCTGTAGTACTCCATATCTTGACCTGGATAACCAGCTATCATCATACCAAATTTCATCGAAATCTGTCCAGGGGTTTTCTCTTGATGCGTTCCCAGACAGACAGGCAAACAGACAATTCTAAAAAAATTAGATTCGGCCTCTGCATCGATAATAATGACTATTTCAATAAAGTTTTCCAAAAAATATTTAATGTACAGATTTAACTTAGTTAGAATTTTATTATGTGTATAGATTTATGGTAGTTTGTATCCAAATATAGTTCTCATGTGGCCATATTTACCTTCAAATATCCCGAAAACGTGACATTTTAAATAATTTCTCAATATTTTTTTTATAAAAACTGGCATTAGCTCCCCAACGTTTTATTTTTTATTCAAAATATCGGCGAAAAATGAAATTGGTGTATGGATAAAGGATACTTAAATAAAAAAAATATATATCATATAATATATCAATATACCATATAAACTTTGCGGTATAATGCTAAACGTCACAATTTTTTTCTGCCTTTGCCTTGTTTCTTGAACGACCAAACTCCATTCCATACTCAAATTAAAAACCATTCCATCGGATGACTATCTTTTTATTAATTTTCCACGGATTATTAAAAAGAAAATTCAGTTCAATCCAAATTAATAAATCGTCATTTAAAATAATAATCTGTTAAGTATTAAAGCCTATACAAAACTAACTTTAACTTTTCATTGAATTAATAAATTAATTATGTTAAAGACTTGAAAAACACAGTTTAAAATTAAATTATGAGTTCATTTCTCTAAGAAATTAAGTATATATACTTAAATTATTATTATTATAGTTGTGAGCTTTCAGAAAAAGCTTTCTTTTCATTTTCATTCTACTTAATAAATTACACTTATCTTAAGAGCGAGGATGGCATTAATTTATTAAAGCTATGTTGATGAACTTTTATTTTTTGTCTTTGCTAAATTCATGGCACGTTTTCCATCCTACTAATATTAAATGCGAAAGCTTGTGAGGATGTATGGATGTATAGATGTATAGATGTTTGTTATTCTTTTACGCAAAAACTACTGAATGGATTTTTATGAAACCTTACAACAATATAGCTTATACATTAGAATAATACACAGGCTACTTTTTATTTCGGAAAATCTTACGGTTCCCGTGGGATAGATTTGTTTTGGTTTTTCTACTCGCTCGTACTTAATAATTAAAAAATAACAGAAATGAATTCTTTAGAATTAAAAATAACATTTAAAAAGAATTAATATTATGAGCCTGAGACATCTATACTAAACGTTAAAACGTAAGTAGAGAACGGAGGCGAAGCTAGGGTGAGTCTCTAGTCGATAATAATTATAAATATGATAATATCAATTTAAACAAACGCTCTGAATAAGTAAAATTACCCATTTCTTACATAATACCATATAAAAATGTCAATATTCGTTTTTAAATAAATTTTCCATAGCATTAAGTTATTCTAAATCCGATTACACGGTCTAAAGTCGTTGCCTACGTCCAGAGTAAGCTTCTTAGTGATACTCAATCTAAAAGCAAATTCACTTCCTATAATAGACGTGCTTTAAAGATATTTCTTTCAAACTCAGCGGGATTTAAAACTAGACAAATGTTCTGTTCGAATAAAATACACGAGATGGCGTACTTTTAATTTCACGAACAAAGGCATCTTAATAGATTTATTAGCGATATTTTGTAATTTGTTGATCTATAGCTGATATTTCTACTTGACAAAACTTCGATACATTTTAATATGTAATGAAAGCTACTAAATCTATAAAGACCATTAAATTCATAAGATTAATGCATACAATTTCGATCTATGTGTTATATAATTTATAGACTGCGAAAGTCTTAGAATAGAGCAGTAAAAATGTTTTAAGTTGATTACAAAACAAACAAATTAAGTTCAAAATTTAGACTTTAATCGGTAAGTTTTTTATAAATTCGATTAGAGCTCAGTTTTTGTCACAAAAAAAGTAAAAACCATTAGACGATTTTAACAGATCAGCTGTGTATATATATAAATAAAGTTGGGTTTGTTACAATACTTTAACTCGAGAACTGCTGGACTGATTTTTATGATCTTTGTTTTGTTGGACATTTATTCACTCCGAATAGTAGAATATTTATTAAAAAAAATCCACACTAAACGCTAAAAAGTACCTAGAGACGAACCTGAGCGAAGCGAGGGCGAGTTGCTAGTTATTCATAAAATGTAAATTTTATTTGTTTGAATGTAAAAGGTAATCTGATTTCATATATTCTGTAACCAATATTTAAAATGTACCTTTAGGGTAGAGAAGGCAATAGTAGCCCAGTGGTAACGCGCTCGCTTGGGAAACCGAGTGAAGCGGGTTCAAACTCCGGGTCGGGTATCCGCACCTGACATATTTTCACTATGCCAATCATTTCCAACAGGATTACCACTTGTCTTACGGCGAAGGAAAACATCGTGAGGAAACCTGTATGTTAGAGAGAATCTAGCAAGTTTTCTCCATACATGTGAAGTTCGCCGAATGTGAAGAATGTGGTAGATTACTGTGGGACGTCAAAAAGGGCTGAATACATTGGGGAGTGGACCTAAGCTATATATTAATATTTAGGAAAAATATAAAGGCTTTTCGCAGCTAAAGTAATTTTACATATTTCTTATTCAAAACATTATTCTTATAAACTTATATAACAAACTTGTATTTATAAAAATACTTTTAATTAATATATAAAATTAAACATGTTTTTCGGAAGGTAAACTTTTTATAATATTGAAACTTTTTGCTATTTAAATTACAAATTTTTCTGCTAGACATTTGTAATATAACAATGACAAGCCAATGTATTTTAATATATTTTTGATAAATTTTAAAAAATGGAGAAGCAGGATGAAGGTAATCTTGATGAAGAATACAAACGCTATTTAGAAATAGTGAGACCCTATCTAAGCCAGTTACTCGATCAGGATGTAATCGACCTATGCAATGCTTGGGTTCAAAAACTTTGCAATTCCAAAAGAAATGAAAAAATACTACGTAATAAATACATGTGTTCTTTATATTACCAATTATCTAGAGGAATCTTAGAAAAACCGTTCGTATGTAAACCAGATTTTGAAATACTACCTCCCCTACCAAATCAAATATATGATGAGTCTTCGACTGAGTTGGAGTATCTTTTAGTGGATTTAGATAATACGAAAGTACTTTTTAATAATGGAGTAAGCTCTGTTTCCGCTACAGATAATTTGGATGGTAGTGAAGAGACTAAATGTGAACGTGAATTAAAGGCAGACTCTGACAATGCTATTGTTGTTAGAACACCGGAACAAAATTTTTGTTCAGTAAAATGTAAGCCAAATAATAGAGATAGCATTTTCTTGAACTTTAATACTTTAATTCATGATCATGACTATCAATCTAGAATTAAAAATCTTATAATGAAATTTCGAAATATCAAAGAACAAAATTTAAGATTAAATGAAGAAATAGCTCTTATGAAAGAGATTAAAAGGAAAAATGATTATGATGACTCATATGAAGAAATAACTAAACTTGATACTTCCACAAGTGCATACATTTCATCTGAAAAGAGTTCTACAACATTAAAGTCGTTAAAATCCAAACTCGAAGAAGCGCAAGCTTCAAGAAATATGTTAATAGAAAATATTAGTAACTTGAAAGAGAGACTAGATAACTACGATGATATGAAAAAATATGAAATAGAGGATATAAAAGCAAAACATAAAGTAGAAATAATACAAATTGAAACTGCTATACGAGATGAATTAAGAGCCGGATATGAAAAGAAATTAGCGGAAGTCAAAAAACATTATGAAGATTCTATTAATACTATTGAAAAAAATAAACAGAAAGAAATCGAAAATATTGCAGCAACCAAAGATGAAATTATTTCTCAGAAAGATAAAATCATAAATATGAAAAATGAAGAAATTGCTCAGTTAAAATGCTATAGTGAGGACTTAAAACATAACCGAACTCCAAAATCCACACCTCGAAAAATCGATTTAGAAAAATGTTTGAGTAAATTAGAAAAGTCAAAAGCCAAATGCTGTAAAGCATATGAGGCTAAGATACTTAACTTAAAAAGAGAGAAACACCTTGCAGAATGTTCCTTACAGCTTCAGTTAGTGAAACAGAGAGCTCAAATTGTTAATGAAGTAACTGATGAACATCAATTGGAAGTATCAACCGCTTTAGAAAAACTAGAAAGTAAATATAAAGATATTGTAGCCAATGTACAAGCAACAGCTGTTCAAAGAAGAATTCAAGATCAAATGGTGCTAGAATCATTGATACAAACAGTGTGTGGAGTTCATAAAGAAGGTAGCACACAACCTACATATCAAAACCAATTAAAGGACAAAGTTATGTGCAGTCAAATAAAAACAAATTGTGATATTGAATTTTCAAGCATATCACAAGGTAATAGAGTTGGTAGTGTTATTGTTGGTAATAATTGCACAGGAACTGTAAATGATTGTTACTTAGATAGTGAAAAAATGAGAGAGCTGAATTTTGAGAAAATGCATATACCTCAAAGAGACTCTGGCAATACTTAAATTAGTTTGCAAATTGTATACTGTAACTATTTTTTTTTTTGTGGTTTGTGAATTAAAATTATCTTTAGTGTATTTTAACATAATATATATTTTTTATTGAATAGGTACTCGTACGTTACACTTCACAGACATATTGTCCGTGCCTTTTTTGATCTCTTCTTTTTTGTTGTGATTACGAATGTAAAACAGTTATACTCTTGCTTCCTATTTTTTCAAATAAAAATTCATTCTAATGTCGGGAATGGCTTTAGGAGTCCATTTAATTGAGGTAGCTTTTAAAGACATATAACTTTTATTTCTCATAAACTTATTTCGTTATAGCTGATCGCTTTGTACTTTTTCGAATATCTTACTTCGTAATCTCTTGTTTAACTTGTTGGAGTGCTTATCCAATAGTATTTTTAATCATGCCATACTTGTGCACGCAGAACTAGTAACTAGACCTAAAACTACAAAAATACTCGACTCTTGATCCAAAAATTGTAGCCAAGAAGTCGGTTGAATATGGGAAAATCTTTCGGAAATCTGTACACATAGAAGACGATATGTTAAATCCCCTTCTATATTAATGAATTATGACCCAATGTAATAAAGTATAACCCACAAAGCCTGAATCATTGCAAGTTCTGGTAGGCTCGGATTACACCCATATAACGGTTCAACAATGACAAATATGTCTACAACGTATTAGTAAATTATATTGGGACAGCAATAAAGGAGATGGAGTCCATAGAAAAATAGGGTGGTAATAAATAAGGCAAGTAATTCCATATTTTGAAACTACGAGTACATATGTTTAATTTACTTGCTAATAATTTATATAGAATTCATACTAATATTATAAATGTGAAATTGTGTTTGTTTGTTTGTTTTTCTTCCACGTCGAAACGGAGTGACGGATTGACGTGATTTTTTGTGTGGACATAGTTGGAGTTGGAGAGAGTGGAGTAGTTTTTATCGCGGGAGATTATCTTACTTCCACGGGAAAACACGTTAAAATACAACCAAAAAATATGTTATATCAGAATTACTTGAAACTTCGTATTAATGCTCTTCAATACAATTAAAGAAATACCTGTTATAGCATTTTTCGAAATTCTTCCCATAAGGGGGTAAAATAGGGGATGAAATTTGTATGAAACCTACTTTTGTAGAGTTCTTTTTTGGAGTTTTAGCGCGAGCGAAGCCTCGGGTTCTGCTAGTTCCATATAAATATTATGAGCGAAGTACTAATGTGGTGTTTGGCCGACTTGTAAATGTTTTTTGGGTATGATATGCGATACTTTAGAACTGTAGAGTGATTCTAACGAATCTCTTTAAATCTATTCATTTAACCCTACATATTTTAACCAAAGAATTCCAAGCTTAAGTTTAGTTATTAATTTAAAAATCATTTTGAAGCCGTTATAACTTTTTAGTCAGCCCATTAATATTAAAAATGCGAAAGTTTGTATGGATGTTTGTTAATTAATCACGCCAGACCGGCTAAACGGATCTGGATAAAATTTAGCACAGACATATTCTATCACTGTGCCAAATTTCATTCGGATCCGAAATCTGTCACATACGTTACTTTTTTGGATAAAGTTTTTGTGTTTCATAGAGCAAGGGATCGACTATCTATTCCATACTAACCATCGAAACGTAACTAGGGATGAATCCGAGCAAAGCGAGGGTGAGTCGCTAGTTTTTTTAATAAGTTCATCATCATCATCAGCATCAGTTTTTAACTTATACCAAAATATACCTTCAAGATAAACTTTAAATCTCGCAATAGAATCTATAACTCTCAAATCGGACTCAGATCATATTTAAGCTCGTTCTTAGTACTAAATCTCGTTTAAGATATATATTATTCGCTTAGTTTTGCATAATAAAGCGATTTATTCGGTAGTTGTGTCCGGAACCCTTAAATTTGCTCCCATTGCACGTCGGATCTCTAATCCGTGCTAATGTCCACATTAACATACAAATGAGCTTAGGTCTAAATTAATAATTTTTTTTTTTATTTATCATTGACTCGGTAAATCGATAAGATACTTTAGTTATTAAACACGAAAACTTGTTAGTTAAATTCTAAATGATTATTGATGTAATAAGATACTCTGTAAGACTGTATGATATTCTGTAAGATGTTTTATCTTTAATGTATCTGGCCAGCTCAATTCGTGGACATTCTTCAAATATTTCTATACTGAGCAATAAAATAAAAGTTCTTACAGAAGCACTATTCATATACAATTGGAGGGACAAATACTGAAATATAAATTTCAGTATTAAAGTTAAATTTTATTATTATTTATTATTATTAAATGTCAGTATTTAAAGGAAATCACAAGAAGGTAATGCTCCTTTAATATTAATACGAAGTAATAAATATTTTTATTTAGATAAAACTAGCTCAGACTAAGCAGCACGTTCATCCTTCCCTCTCTGTTTTCCATTTTGCATCGATTTTCTGCAAGGTGCTTGATAAAATAGATAAGAGGTAATTTATACACGTAATTAAAGTGGTAATAAATTTAACTGTATTTTAAGTCTATCATATTTTATGTCTTGGATAAGCTTTAAGGATAACATTTTTAATTACATTAATGGTCTCAGATATGAAGTGCTAAAACATAAATCGTTTTTCTGTAAGATAACATTTTTATTTTAATAAAACGGCCTTAATTTAAATAAAACATTTTCAGAAATTTGCTTCCTGTTATGAAATTGTTGCTCTCATGTCCATGTACATATGTTGTATAACATTTTTATTTTTTAATGCAATGATGTCCTTTTTTTTTTTTTTAACGTTGGGAAATGCATTTACGCACGACGTGTGGGACTCACCGGCGTAATACAGCCAGTACTACCCACTAAAACCCAACAAAACCTTCCCCCGTCTTAATGGGGCGTCGCAGGATCGCTTACGCATTCAACTACGACGCCCCGACGGCAGGTCTGCCGAAGCAGACCACCACAACCATGGGGTTGCTCCGAGGTCCACTCTGCTATCAGAGAAGTACCAGGAGCAACCCGCATGGTACTCCGCCCCCCGAAGAGGGCCACCTCCCACCAAAGTGGGCAACCTCCCTGTGCGTTTCTTAGCTTCGCGCCCGGTTGGATTGCCGGGCACTACTGAGCCCCCCCACCACGACAAGGTGAACGCACGTTGGGGGGGATGCAATGATGTCCTATGCGAACCATTTTAATTCAAATAAAAGATTAGCCTTAAAAAAGTCCAAAAAATACCAATCCCTTCTTGCGGTAAATAATGATAAACCAACACAATTCGCATTTACGTATTATATAGGTATTTAACAGTAGCTTAAGTAATCGTTGTACTAATTTTCATCTAAATATGTTCAGCCGTTTCCTTGTAAAGAAGTAACCAATATATATACATACATACAAACTTTCACATTTTCAATATAGTAGTTAGAATATTACTAAGTATTTCATACTATCACAGGACCGCAATTACCGTTCCTAAAATTTGCATATAAGTCCTCAATGAAAGTGATTTCGGTAGGATCAACTTCCGACGTAAATGGAGCCACGTCGCAATATGAATAATTGCCAAGGAACTATCAACTGGACGGAGATCGCAAATCAATCAATGTGTCTATTGGGTGCAGTACTTTGGCGGAAATGAAGCAGGATTCCGATGGCATAGCGATTTTCCAATGTGTTACATGGATGTTTAAGCTTTAGCTATAATTACAAACCTATACATTTATGTTATACTAGCGACTCACCTTCACTCAGCTCGAGTTCGTCTCTAGGAACTTTTTAATGCTTAGCATAGATTTCTCAGAAATGAGACATTTTACCGCGGTAAAAAGTATCCTGTATGTTGACCCGGATAACCAGCTATCATCATAGCAAATTTCATCAAAGCCTCTTCAGCGGTTTTCTCGTAATGCGTTCCCAGACAGACAGACAGACAGACAGACAGACAGACAGACGGACAAAAATTCTAAAAACTATAGATCCATCCTCAGTTTCGATTATAATGACTATTTCAATAAGATTTTTCAAAAAAAAATATTATGTACAGATTTGACTCTGAATTTTATCATATGTATAGACCAGCGACTTACCCTCGCTTGATCGAGTGCGTCCAACGACCACTAAGTGGTCGTTGAGTGCGTCCCAAGTTGTCAACAACTAGGTATTGTTATATAGTCCAAATTCTGTACACAATACGTAACAGTCATTCGTTTTACAAAATATATCAAGTACAGATTTCGCTTTCTTACTATTTTTATTTTATATAAGTATACCTATAATACAAACTTATGGGCTCACATTTAATACTTATACATAATTAATGTCTTTCTAACCGAACGATTAGCAAGCCAGTTTCACTGAGACTAGCTAATTCCACGAGATTTATTGTACACAAGTACATGCGGAAACTCAAATACACTCTGTATTCCTTTAAAACTCATATTCCTGTGGGACGACAATTTGACGTGACCGGTGAGAGATTAACCGCAGGATCGTCAGCTTAACGTGCTCTCTGAAGCATGGAGGTATACACTGCAAGCTACCCAACTAAGAATTTGTAATGAGTATTTTCGAATAAAAAACTTAATAACTATATGAGCCCGACCCAGAACTCAAACCCAGGATATCACGAGCCTCAGCCATGCCTGCTAGCCACGAAGTACATATACATATGTAGCTTCACTTAAGTAGTTAACTTGACGACGGCACGTTTGACTCAGTTTGTAGTGACCCTACTTGCTGTGCCAGCGGTAGCGAGTTCGAGTTTGCTGGGGGAATTTGTGTGAGTAGCACGAATGTTTGTATTCCAGTCATGGGTGTTTATATTTATAATATGTTTGTATTTACAGTTATGTATTTGTAGTGTATCAACTATCTGGTATTCATAATACAAGCCACACCTAGCTTACCATGGAACTAGATGGTGCTGGGTGTTAATGTCCCAACATATTTATTATTTATTTATCTATTCAACTTACTATAAGTAAAGTATCCTATGA